TTTAAAATTTTAATATATTCAAAACGCATTTATTCTTTTTAGCAAGTAAATAATTATTTTATAATTTAATTATCTTTTAAACTATTTTGATTTATGAAAAATAGAACGCAAATGAGGTAAATTTTATAATCTTTTTCACTTCCATTTGTTGAGTATATACTTTAAAAATAAATTTTTTTGTTTTAAAAAATAAAATTATGAAGATATGGTAAAAAGGGGAAAAAATATTAACAGTGAAACAAAAGCTCTAATAATTGACGCGTTAAAAAAAGATAGTATCAAAAATATAGCATCATGTTTTAAAGTAAGCTATAACACAGTGACAAATATTAAATACTCTCATCTCACAAATGGAATAAAATATAGCTTACCCAAAGGAGGTTCACGCGCACGCAAGAAATTAAATAAAGAGCAGGAAGAATATATATTAAATTGTATAAATTTGGAATGCACTTTATCCTTAAAAAGGTTATGTGAAATCATTAAAGAAAGATATGATGTGGAAATATCAAAAAATACGGTATCAAGGTTACTCTCAGGATTTAGGTACAGCTTTAAAAGAGTATCATTACGTTCAGTTAGAGAAAATAACGAATCAAATATAGAGATTCGCAAAGAATACGCCAATTGGTTTGTAGATGTAGCATATATGAAGGAAAAATTTATATTTATCGATGAGAGCGGGTTTTCAATATCAATGAGGCGATTATATGGATATTCCCAAATAAATAAAAAGGCAATTAAAAATGTTCAAGGAACAAAGACAATAAATTACACTATCATGGCGGCTCTCACAATTGCAGGAATATTTCGATTCGAAGTTCTTGATGGCCCTTGCAATGCTATATATTTTAGCAACTTTATAAATGAAATATTAAATCATTTTGAAGAATCTAACATGATTAATATGATTTTTGTGATGGATAATGTTCCATTTCATCACAATCATTCAATTAGGGAATCGATCGAAAGAAAAGGACATACATTGAAATATTTACCACCCTACAGTCCGTATCTTAATCCTATTGAGAATGTGTTTTTTCAATGGAAGGATTTTGTCAGAAATCAAAATCCTAGTAACGAGGAAGAATTAATTCGTTATATAGAACATGGAGAAAAAGGAATATCTGAAGAAAATGCAAAAAATTATTTTAGAAATATGGAGACATATATCCCAAAATGTAGAAGGGGAGAAAATATTAATGATTAATATAAATTTTTGTTTCGTACTATATTAAATATATATCGTAATTGTAATTAAATAATTTCATATGTAAAAAATTATAATAAAAAAATTGCTGCCAAAAATTTAGTGAAAATTAAATATACTTAAAAGAATTATCAAAAATGGGAAGAAAAAAATTGAGAAAAGATACAAATAAAATAAAGAAATCGCAAAAAGTTAGAAATAAAATAAGAAGGAATGACAAAAATAAATAAATTTAAGAAAAATTGAAAAGTTTATATATTTTTTTAAAAAAATTACGATTTTCCTTTTTTGAATTGGAATTTTCCTTTTTTGATTGACCCTTTTCCTTTTCTTTTGGGAATTTTCCTTTTTCGATTGACACTTTTCCTTTTTTGATTGGACCTTTTTCTTTTTTGTTTGACATTTTTCCTTTTTTGATTGAACCTTTTCCTTTTTTGTTTGACACTTTTCCTTTTTTGATTGGACTTTTTCCTTAACCTTTGGGACTTTTCCTATTTTGATTGACAATTTTCCTTTTTTGATTGTACTTTTTCCTTTTTTGTTTGACACTTTTCCTTTTTTGATTGAACCCTTTCCTTTTTTGATTGGAACTTTTCCTTTTTTGGATGGGAAACCTTGTATCAAAAATGAGAAGAAAAAAATTGAGAAAAAATATAGTAAGAAAAATAAATTGAGAAAAGATACAAATAAAGTAAGGAAATCGCAAAAAGTTAGAAATAAAATAAGAAGAAATGACAAAAATAAATAAAAATTATAGTTTTTTTTTAAAAAAATTTCGATTTTCCTTTTTTGAATGGGAATTTTCCTTTTTTGATTGACACTTTTCCTTTTCTTTTGGGAATTTTCCTTTTTCGATTGACACTTTTCCTTTTTTGATTAGACCTTTTCATTTTTGTTTGACTTGATCGGACTTTTTCCTTTCTTTTTGGGAATTTTCCTTTTTTGTTTGACACTTTTCCTTTTTTGTTTGGACCTTTTCCTATTTTGATTGAACCTTTCCTTTTTTGATTGGGACTTTTCATTTTTTGAATGGGTAACCTTGTAAAAATATTCAAATTAAATTTTAAAAAATGTTCCATCTTGTGGATATTCTTTTATTACTTTATTGTCTTATTATATATTATTACTATAAAAAAAATTTAATTTATATTTATATCTTTTTGAAAAATATTTTATCTTACAATTTACATTAGAGACCTGCAGGCCCGGCCCTAAACCCGGCCGTATTTTAAATTTTTTAAATATACCTGGGCCGGGCCGGGCCTAAAAAATTTTTTTTAAACATATCCGGGCCGGGCCGGGCCGGGCCTAAGATTATTAAACCCGGGCCGGGCCGGGCCTTAATATTTTTTATAAAAATTTTTACATTATGAGTTAATGGTTATAAGATTATATTATATTACAGTTATGATTAAAATAATATATTGGGTGATGGCTAACACTACCTAACACCCACAGATCGATCTAATTATTAATTTCCTGCAAATTTATTCTAAGTATTAATATATTTTTTAAAATTCATATCTAAATTTTTACAACATATTTTACCAAAACAATCAAATAAAGGAATATCTTAAAGCCCCAATATTCAAGTATTATTAATATATTTTTTTATAATTCATATCTAAATTTTTAGAATATATTTTAGCAAAACAATCAAATAAAGGAATATCACTTCTTGAAGTTTGTAACACCTTTCAAAGCGAAAAAGGAGAAATAAAATTGATTTTACTTAATATAAAGCATTTTTTAATTGAAAAATTTATTTTACACAAGTATCATTTTATTTCTCTTTTTCTCTGTCCCAAATTCAAGCAATTACGTATGTAGTCAGGGGCAGATCGCAAGATGACGGAAAACTATATAAAAGATTATATTAAATTACAAGAGGCTCAGGAAGTAAATGAAATACCATCGACCAGTCAAATTACGACTGTTAAACAAACTGAATCGTTTTATGACAAATGGGGCGATGGTAATTCTGTTAATATGTCAATACCCGATGATGAATATTATAATTACATAAATAAAAAAATAGATGAAACATTTAAGGTGGATAATTTGTTAGAGTGGTGGGCGGCTCATCAAAGCGAATTTCCAATTTTAGCAAAATTGGCAATTCCTGCTTCAAGTGCAAGCTGTGAGTGGAATTTTTCTACTACTGGAAGAATTCTTGAAGAAAGAAGAAGTAATCTTCAACCTGAAAAGGTAGATATGTTTCTCTTTCTTCATGATAATTTGTGAATTTTTAATATCTTTCTTGAGTATAGGGTTTCGTCAATCATGCTGGTTTTTTACTTTGCAAACTGTCAAATATTTATTGCATTTATTATATTTACCTTGAGTCATAAAAGTTTTTAATCCAACATTTTTCATTATTCTTTTTTACAATATTATATAATACAATTATCTTCTTTTGTTAAAAATTTATATTATAAAATAAATTATATTAATATTGTGCAATTAGATTATATTTTCAAAATACTATTTATTATACATGCATTTTTTTTAATAGCGATTTATTTTTATTTTATAAATTAAATAGTAAATTAAATACAATATATTATATTCTCAAAATATTTTCCATTTTTATAAATTAAATATTAGTTTTATTTTTTTTTAAATGCAATATAAAATATAGTATATGCTCAAAATATTATTACCATTTTTATGAATATTAGTTTTATTTTTATAAATGCAATATAAAATATAGTATATGCTCAAAATATCCATTTTTATAAATAACAGTTTTATAATTTTTATAAATTCAATATAATATTCTCAAAATATTAGCTTTTTACATGTATTTTTTAAATAATAAGCGATAATATTCGCTGAAAAATATGGTAAAATACCTCATAGGTGAATTTTTGTATATACCAGGTCGAATATAATTTTAAAAAATTCCGAAGCCTTAATTTTTTAAATCCGGGCCGGGCCGGGCCGTAAAAAATTTTTTTTAAAAATATCCGGGCCGGGCCGTTAAAAATTTTTTTAAAAAATTTCCGGGCCGGGCCTAAAAAATTTAAAACCGGGCCGGGTCTGGCCGTGCAAATGGTACCTCTGCAGGTCTCTGATTTACATTTATATGCGATTTATATTAAAAAAATCATAAATATAAAATATTTAACGTTAAAATCATTTTAAACCTTATTAAAAAAAGGTTGCTGTTTGTTTTTACAACATTATAGAATTTAGTGTTAAGCAGTTTACGGTAATATAAGTCTATGATTATAATAAAATTTAGCCATAACATAAATAAAAATTAAAACATTTTTATAATTTTAAATATATTTTGGAATAATAAAATACTTCGTTCACTGCATTTTTTTTTATATTTCATGTAATTTGATATAAGTCACAAATTAACCAAAGATATAATATAAATATAAAAAAAATATTTTATAAGTATACATTACCAGTTTAAACTAACCTTGTTTCAAGCCCCACTAAATAACATCTAAACATAAATGTTCATAAAACTTTTTGTTATTTGCTATAAAATTTAAATTATTTATTAATATCTTGCACAAAATTTCCAAATTTGACAATATTTATTTATCATATAAAATTCATTTGATCAATTATTTAAAAATACTATTTTTTGTATAGATGCACACCATTATGATCTATATTATATAAAATTTAAATGTCCTAGCATCTTAAAAATGGGATTAAATAGTTTGGCATACCTCACAGTTTAACTAGCCGCGGTCTCCCCTACACAAAAAGTTACATTAAAAAAATATTCATTCATTAATTAATATGATAAAATAAATTATTTATATAGATATTTCGATTCAGCTATTCAGCTAAATATCTAATATATGACGTAGAAGATGGGTATGATACAAACAAATTCATGATAAATAATAATTATATATTATTTTAAAAAAAGTCAAGTGAACGCTCTAGGTCCTCAATACCCATCACAAGATATAGATGTAAATTTGCGATGCATTATCTGGTCTCCTGAAGGACATGCTTTAGTAAAATATTTACTTATTTTCAATTTATTGCATGTTTAACAATTTAATTTATCGGTGTTATTATAAAAGTTCATGCATAAGTAGGGTAAACCGGGAATAAATGGCCTCAGAGAAAATGGTTAAAATATGTATTAACCAAAACTCTATTTATTTTGTTGGAAAAAATTAAATTACAATATATAATAAAATTAATGTTTAATAATGCTATCAAATATATATTATAATAATATGTTATTACAAGGTAAGTTATAATAATAGTTTTAAAAAATATAATATTTATAAATCACAATTATATAAAGTCATCAATTCTTGTTATTTTTTATTGATTTAGATTTAAGTTTCCTTTTAGCGTTAACATTATAATAGCAGCAAAATGGCCAAAGTCTATCCTATGCATAGGATATTCAATTAGGGGGTTTCGGATATTGAAAAAATAAAACTGAGATAGTTATATTTTAGATAGTTATATTTTACTATGTTTATGGCTAATCTTTGGCAGATAGAATCCCTCGTTGGGATTCTTGGTCCTAGCAGAGATCCGTTTTCCCAGCTATTTAAGGAAGGCCAGGGCACGAGAGCCGAACGACGTTAGAGTAGTGGCGATTAATGGTAAGAATGTATAATTAGCGGGAAGAGATGGCGAATATTTATTCGCCTCGGCATCTAGTATGGCATCTCTATTTATATTGGAAGGGGCAAGAGGATCGATGCATGAGAAATCCCAGGTTAGGAATTTCCCCCTCTTCCAAGAGATCATAGTCGAACCATCGGGCCGCTTACCATCGGAATTGTAAAGGCCAGTAGGTTCGAGGGTTGATGGGATGTCGGCAGATTTTAAGGCCCTGGCAATGGTATCATTGCATTTTGAATGCCTAATGAATTTGCCTCTACAGTGCTTGCAGTGTAGAGAGTGACGGCCTTTGGAGTTGAGACGTTTGACAGAGGATACAGTGATAAGGCATTACCATATCGCAATTAAGTCTAAGACCGATGGCGTGACGTAGTTCATAATTGCTTAGGAGCTGGTCAAGGTTTCGCGATAGGAAAGTCTCAAGAAATTCGTATCCACTACCTGCGGAAATGGAGAAGTGTAGAGAATGGTCCTCTGGTTAGCTCCTCGATTTAAGGAATGCAACGGAGTTACCAACTAGAGGTTTATCCCAATTCTTAGTGGACTATGGAGGATCGACTAATTAGAGGGACTTCCATAGATCAATTGCCTGTAGGAGTAAGGGGTCAGGAAGTTTTGTGAGTGTTTGTTTGATGGGCTCGAAGGACAAGGAGGATATGAACGCACTAACGGAAAGTAGGGAAGGTGACCTTATGACAATGGCGCCGGATTTGGTTGGTAAGTTAGCCTGTAACCATGATAATTCCCCAAATTTAAGATTTAGTATATCTTCTGTAAGGCGTTTAATCTTCAGTTCGTGTGTAGCGAGGTTGACGTCATATTGAAAGATCCGTGACGATCGGAGTGTATATCTTGGAATTAGAAAGTAGTTCTTTAATAAGAAGAAAGCTTGGTGAGCTTGGAGGAGAGATAGAGTATCGCGCATAAGGGATATCTCTCATAAAATATCAGCAAAGAACTTGATAAAGGACTCGTCTTTACCTACTGGAGATCCGAGATTTAAAGCGTTCAATGGTGTATGATTGAACATAGTGTCATGGTTAAGATCGATGATCCCAAGAGGGCAATATTCGCTTTTGTCTTGATTGACTCGAATTCGCAAACTTTTCTCGCTGGATTTTATTATATGAATTGCCTTCATAACATCAATAGGTGGGCCGCCTAGTATACCATCGTCGATATACCAGTTATAAAGATTTAGCTTGCATTGGTCATTAATGCCTCGTATTAGACTATTAATGCCCAGACAGAACAAAAAAAGGAACCTAGAGGGTCACCTTTTGTATCCCATCGCAAGAAGGAATCAATCTATCTCCGAAATGAAGATGCGAGGGATTAGCATAACAATCGAAGATAAATTGTGAGTATTCTGGGTAGAGGGTAAGAATAGGATTTAGAAAAGCTCCAAGCCTTGGAGAATTAAAGGCGTTCGAGAAGTCTATTTTGACTAAGATATCGTTGGTGAGGTCCGTTTGCAGATACATCCGAATTTAATATCAATGTATGGCCAATCGGTTTATAGAATAAAATTAAAATCAAATCTCTATCCATTATAGTTCTCGAGAATATTGTTAAATGGCTCAATTTCAGCCGATTTTTAAAAATGAGTAACACAATCGAGATTTCTCTTTGTAACTCTTGTGTCAGCCATGAGCCAAATCTTCAATTTTGCATAATATCTGGATAAAATATTAAGTTAGCCATTTTTAAAAATCGGTTCAAATTAGTGCTGTAAAATCGAACGTGTTCTCGTTCAACGTTCATTGGCAAAAATCGAACACGTTCACGTTCGTTCAAAATTTTATGATATATATTTTTTTAACCGTGTTTATCCCAATTGTTACCAATACCCTCGGCATGTTCGGAAGTGTTGCTCTCAATTTCATCAAAACTATTGGAAAAAAATGAGGCAGATCTCAGGGGACCCCAATGAAGGATTTTACTTTCGCCACCCAATTTTTTTAAGCATTCACTCTTCTCTAGAATGATTTGTTCCCTTTTTTTTAAAAATTTTTTTTTTTTACTCTTTTATACATACATATTTTTTAATTCATTTTTAATATATTATTAGTTTTTATATATATATTTTTTTAATTATAATTCGTAAATGAAAAATTTGTGAAATTTGTTATTTAAATAAAGTATCTCATCCATTAAAAATAAAAAAATAAAATAAATGTCTTATATTTTTTAAAACTATATATTAGCCATGTTAAATAATAATATAGTTTTATTTTGATAATATAATTATAAATACAATATAATATAGCAAATAAAAAGATTTTTTATTTATAAACTTAATAATTTTTAATAATTATTTAAAAATTTTCTTCTGATAGACAGGAACGAATGGCAGTTAATACGGCATTAACTATACTAAAAACGCGATCTACAGGGGCAGATGAGGGGATTGCGGTATTAAATTTAATAAACATCCCTTTTAACGTGGGGAATTTATTAAAAACATTTATTGTTTTGTTCCTTGCTTCAAAAAATTGAGATATGCCATCATCCTCTACTTCCTCGTCAAAAAAAAGGCTATATCGAAATTAACCGTTCTTGCATTATCATTTCTAGGGTTTTCAATGCATTTTCCCAATAACGCTATAAGTTTACTTTTAATAGGTTTGTTCTGTGAAAGTTGTATCCATGGCCATTGAAGCTTGAATACTGGATGTATAATTGCAGAAAGAACATATTGATCTTCATATATATCTTCAAATCTTTAAAAAAATGAAATATATGTAATTAATTTAATAGATAGTTTAATACCTTTTATCAATCCCATTTAATACTGCGTCTATCAAAGGTTGGGCATATTTGAGGTCCCTAATTTTATTTAATTTTAAAATAACTATCTTATTATTGGGGTCAAATAGCCCAAATGCATTTTTTCGTCAAATTTAATAATTTTACTTAATTATATTGTATAAAATAAAATAATTAATATTACAATCAAATGTCGTTTTAAATTGTAACCAATATTTGACACTAATATAATACTTTTTGGGCTCATTTTACACTTGGTAAGTATTAAATTAGTTCCTTCAATATAGGATGTTACTGTAAAATATTTATCATATTTGGTTATGGTAATATTAATTCATCTGATTTTGAATTTTCTGAATCAGAAAATGATGATGAAATAATAATATCCATGATTATGCTAATCTAGTAAATTAAAATATAAACTATAATATTCAGATTAATAAACTATAATAATGACGTAATAAAAAAAGTGAAATGTTAAAAAGGAAAAACAGCTGATTATAAAATATAAAAATATTTTCTTAAAAAATTCGGATTAATATTAAATTTTTCAAATAAATAAAAATAAAAAGTGTTTATAAAATTGAACGAACGTTAAATTCGAACGCGTTCGTCATAAAAAACGAACTTCGTTCACTAACGCGTTCAGTTCGTTTACAACACTAGTTCAAATCAATCTGTCTAACAACACTATTTTCGATCTACATAATTTAATGTAAAAAATATTTTGGGGCTAGTCATCTCAGGCAAGATGTTCAATGATCATTTAAAAAATAATTAACACTAATATTAAAAATAACATTATTGAATCACTCGACAAATTTTGTAGTTTCCATTTTATTACATATATTTTAATTGATAAAAATTAACAGATGTATAATTTTGAATATATTTATTATATTAAAAGAAATTTGTAAATATAACATCATTATTCGTAGATTTTTTTATGTTTGAATTTATTTTAAAAGAAAAAAAAGGAATATCAATGTAAATTAATTATAAGGTATCACCATTAGCGGCAATACATCTTTAAATATATTTTTTTATAATTAAATTTAAGATACCTTTATATAAATGTTACCGCGAATGACGGATCAAATTTTTTGGGATACTGTGAAAATATCGCAATGATATCACTACTATATATCACTGTTTACCGTATATACTACGATAAATTTAAAAATAATTTATATGATCCCAACTCAGCACTGTAGAAATTTAACACTTAAACAAATTATTGAATTAAGACCCTACAAAAAATACCTCAATTTTAGAAATAGGTTTAAATTCTTAAGGAGCAAAGTTAAGAATGTTCCTATTAGAGGTTTAAATTATTTTGAAAATTGAGGTATTTTTGTATGGTGGTTGTCCAGTGTCTTTTTGGGGGACTTTTGTCAGGATTATTCAGGTCTTTTATCCAGGACATTTCTATATGTCCATTATTCCTTAATCTTAAAGACATTTATAATAAGATTATATTCAAATTTATAAATTTAACTGATTTAAAATATAGAATTAAAATTTCAATGATCGAACACAATTTTGTTGTTTTAAATTTTATTGTAACCTAATACCATTCAATATATCTTCGATCTAGAAT